GGTTGAGATTATTGCTGCCAAAGGAGGGTAAACCAGTTATTAAGTCCAAAGGTTCACATACTTTTTCCTCCCTGCACTGTGAATGTTTACATGTTATGTGCAATTAAACCATGGCAACATCTAATGTTTGTGTAGTATTATGTTCAGCAGACTGTGTTCTTCTATTGTTGTGAACTAGATGACATTCAGAGCACATTTTATGCCCAATTCATGCAAAACTCCACGTAATCCCAAGGGGGTTCACATACTTTTCTTGCAACTGTATTTATATAGCGCTAAAAGGTTTGCTCAGCGCTGTACATTATAGTGGGGGACAGTACATGAGACAATACAGTAACAATACAATACACGAGGGGGTCAAGTGCCCTGCTCTTTTGAGCTTACAATCTAGGAGGGAGGGGATAGTGGTACAGGAGGAAGTGGGGGATGGAGTGGTAGGAGGAGATCGGCTTTTAGGTGAGGGCGGGGTAGGCTTCCCTAAAGAGATGGGTTTTCAGGGTGCGCCTAAAGGTGAGGAGGGTAGGTGACAGTCTGATGGATTGGGGTAGTGAGTTTCAGAGGATAGGGGAAGACCTGGAGAAGTCCTGCAGTCGGGCGTGGGAGGTGGAGATCAGGGAGCTAGAAAGTAGGAGGTCTTGTGAGGAGTGAAGATTACAGGTAGGGTGGTATTTGGGTATCAGGTCGGTGAGGTAGTTTGAAGCAGCGTTATGAATGGCTTTGTATGTCTGTGTTAGTAGTTTGAATTTAATGCGTTGGGCAATCGGGAGCCAGTGGAAGGGAATGACAGAGGGGGGGTGGCAGATGCGGAACGGTTGGTAAGGTGGATGAGTCTGGCCGCTGAGTTCAGGATAGACTAAAGCGGGGATAGTCTGCGATGAGGTAGGCCGGTGAGAAGGGAGTTGCAGTAGTCCAGACGTGAGATAACGAAGTGAACGAGTAGTTTAGTAGTTTCTGGGGTTAGGAACGAACGTATTTTGGAGATGTTGCGGAGGTGGAGCCTGCATGAGTTTGCCAACGATTGGACATGGGGTTGGAAGGACAGGTTTGAGTCTAGAGTGACACCTAGGACTTTGGCTTGTGGGGTGGGACTGATGGTGGCGTTGTTGGTCATGATGGAGAGTTTGGGGGGGGAGGGGGGCATGGACTGGGGGGGAAATCTGGTGCTCGGTTTTGGAAAGGTTTAATTTGAGGAAATGGAGCGACATCCAGTCTGATATGTAGTTCAGTAGGTGGGTGATATGGGCGGAGACTGAAGGGGTGAGGCAAGGGGTGGAGAGGTAAATTTGCGTGTCATCGGCGTAGAGGTGATAGTTGAAGCCGTGGGAGTGTATCAGTTTGCCGAGGGAGGAGGTGTAGATGGAGAAGAGAAGGGGCCCGAGGACCGAGCCTTGGGGGACCCCAACAGAGAGGGGGAGATAGGGGGAGGTGGTAGCGTTATAGGTAACACTGAAGGAGCGTTGGGATAGATAGGAGGAGAGCCAGGAGAGAGCGGAGTCTCTGATGCTGAGGGAGTGTAGTTCTGTTAAGGAGGAGGGGGTGGTCGACTGTGTCGAAGGCCGCTGAAAAGGTCGAGGAGTAAGAGGACTGAGTAGTGGCCATTAGCTTTGGCGGTTAGCAGGTCATTAGTGATTTTGACGGGACAGAAGCCAGACTGTAGTGGATCGAGGAGGTTGTTGTCAGTGAGGTGGGCGCATAGGCGATGTTGACTAAAGCGACTCGAGGAGCTTGGAAGTAAATGGTAGCAGGGAGATGGGTCTAAGGTTGTTCAGGTTGGTGGGGTCCAGGGAGGGTTTTTTGAGTATGGGGGTGATGTGCGCGTGCTTTAGGGGGGAGGGGAATGTGCCAGTAGAGAGAGAGAGATTGAAGATGTGGGAGAGGGAGCGTAGGATGGAGGAGGAGGGTGACCGGAGGAGTTGTGTGGGAACAGGGTCAAGGGGGCAAGTGGTGAGGCGGGCTTTTGAGAAGACCTTAGTGACCTCCTCAGTGGTAGCAAGGCTGAAGGAGCGGAGTGTTGGGAGGTTATAGTGTGCGGGACGTTAGGTGTGGTGGGGGGTAGGGCGGTTGTGAGGTCAGAGGAGGGGAGAGCTGGTGGGGTTATGGTGGGAGGGAGGCTAGATGGGAAGGTAGGTTGAGCATTGGCGATGTCCTTACAGATTGCGTCGATCTTATTTTGGAGTGGAAGTGATTGGCAATCTCGTGTGCAGTGAGTGAGGTACTGGGTGTGGGGGGAGAGAGTAGGGAGTTGAAAGTGGAGAAGAGCCGGCAAGGACAGGTGGAGAGGGTGTTCATGAGGGTTACGAAGTAGGCTTGTTTGGCGGCATGGAGGGAGGAGGTGTAGGTGAGGAAGGCGGATTTGTAGAGGGAGAACACGCGAGGCGATCTGGTTTTGCGCCGTAATTGCTCCAGCACACGACTGTGTCGTTTAAGATTTTTAGTGTGGTCGTTCTGCCAGGGTTGAGGAGGTCGGGGTCTAATGCTACGTGTGGTTAGGGGTGCTAAGGAGTCTAAGGCAGCTGACAACAAGTCATTGTACGCAGTAGTGGCCAGGTCAGGGCATGGCAGTGGAAGGATACTGTCATACAGACGGTCAGCTGCAGAATGGAGATGTCAGAAAGTGTACAAAGAACAGATATGGCTGAGTTTCATACTGTACGTATGTATTCTTACAAACCTTGAGCCGTCACCAATGCTGGAGTAGGTATTAAATCTGCAAAGATAAACATTAGCTTTTGATTTGTAGCATTACAATTTGATAAAAAATATTTTCAGGCACACAGAAAATGGTTACAGATTTGTGAGGTGCAGTTTTACCCATTTGTAGTTTATTCAATTGCTTCTAATATCCTTCAGTTTAAAGAATAAAAAAAGATTGTTACACTCACATTTTGAATGTTTTTTGCTTTATGCTTTAATGATTAAATCTGTCCAGGCTTGCAATTTACAAACCAGTACTGATTGATAAATGCAGGTGCCATAAAGTGTCTTCTAGTTGCATATATAGTTATAGTACATACTTTAATAAGGCTGCATAAAGACAAATGTCCAATTATCCATTAATTTTAAACCAACATAACAAACGGGGGATGTTATTGATGCCATAATTATGTGTGAATGTTCCCCAAACCAAAACCATTAAATTACCACATTGTCTCCTTTATCTCAATCTAGAAGGTACAGCAGCAAAAGTATAAAGGAACCTCTTGTCTCTCTAATCTCCATCTAGGATATAACTGGGTTGATTTAGTAAAACAGGAGAGTGCAAAACCTGGTTCGGCTGTGCGTGGTAGCAAATCAGCTTCTAACTTCAGCTTGTTCAGTTTAAGTTTGTCCCATTTCTGACATAGCCTTCTGCATAGCAACATGAGCCTCCATGACTTGAATTACTGTCTTTTGAACCTTGCAAATGGACTGTTGAATCAGGGTTTGGGTTTGAGCCAATTGGGACAGGGTCTACACTATCTCATATACACAAACAGCACACAACTATCCTTCACCGATCTTCATAAATTCTCACCAGAATCTCATCAATCAGAATGTGTTGTATATCATATGATCTCCTCTCTCTTTCTTCTTGACCATCTATTCGACTGCTTCCAATCTCCAAAGCAAAAAAAACGAATATAGTGTAGTAATTTCCACAAAAAATATATTACGTGATACACCCGAGCAAAATGTAGAACACTATGTGAATCGTGTCAACCACTAACCACACTAATTACTCTTACCCTCACAGGGTGAGAATGTGCATAAACTCTTCATCACTATAATCAGCATCTAAATAAGAATGTGACCATGCTCCATCCACCTCCAATGTGCAAACAGATCAACAAGCTTGTTCCCTTCCCCTCCAGGTATGTACCTTACCCTGCATACAGCGATAAATGATTTTCAATACACAGTGTAATCTTCACTCTGTTTTCTCTTCACCCGCTCTTCATAAACTCTCAATGCCCATATAAAATCCCATAGTACAGCAGTAGTGTAAAATTATCAATTTAATGATAAAATTGCGCTTACATGAGAAATAAGTACAAGCAACCTGTACAGAAATGGCTGCCGCGGCACTTCCGGTTGCGTCAGCGTCACATCCTCTGACGCATTTTGTCATCAAATTGACTTCCTCATAGGCAGGCCTATAGTGTTCTACATTTTGCACGGGTGTATCACGTAGTATATTTTATGTGGAAATTACTACACTATATTAGTTTTTTTGCTTTGGAGATTGTAAGCAGTCGAATAGATGGTCAAGAAGAAAGAGAGAGGAGATCATATGATATACAACACATTCTGATAGGGGAAATTCTGGTGAGAATATATGAAGATCTGTGAAGGATAGTTGTGCGCTGTTTGAGTATATGAGATTTTTATACGGGGGGGGGGGGGATATGGGGGGTTGGATTTTGAGCTGCACACTGTTGACTTTGGGCACTTGCGACAACCAAAAGGGTATACACCAGGGCTTAAAATTTCAAGTCCTGAGCTACTAGCCAGGCCTTAAGAGTTACTCACCACCAGTTGCCCCCACCCAACCCTTACCCTGCCTCGCCCCTAATCCCACCCCTAAACACTCCCACGTAAGTTATTTAATGAAATTACACTGTTAACTGTTACCCACATTACATCAGGGTCCCCAAAGTCCCCCCACATTACATCAGGGCCTCCAATGTTCCCCTAAACACTCCGTCATACTTAGACCATGTACCGCATACAACCATAACCCCCTATAATCTTTCACTCACAAAACCATAACTCTACCACGCATATCCTACCTACTATCCAACCCAACAGTACCTCAAATGTCCCATACTCTACCACCCATAATAGCCACATAATCCTGAACCTGTCCAAACCACCCATACATGCAGGTTTACATACAGACAATGTACATACACACACACAAACAGAGACACCTGTACATACACACAGACATGTACATACACGCATACACACACAGAAACATGTACACACACAGAGACACTTGTACACACACATACAGACACATGTATACACACACAGACACTTGTACAGACACACATACATGTATATACACACAGACACATGTACATACACAGAAATACACATGCACATACACATGTACATACATACACAGACACATGTACATACACACAGACACTTGTACATACATACAAAGCCACATGTATGTACAAACACACACACACACAGACACATGTACACACACATACATGTACACACACACATACATGTACATACACGCACACATGTACAGATACACACATGCACATACACGCAGACACATGTACATGCATACACAGACACACACACAAGCACACACACAGATACATGTACATACACACATGGACACAGTCGTATAAAAAGTTGCAGTAGCTCGTTACCTTCACTCACAGATCCGGGTACTGCACTCTAGGGGGAGGCAGATAGCACAGCACGCACTCCTTCCTTTGCTTTCACTTTGCTCAACTATTGAGCAGTCTGACGGCTCCCAGTGCGAGTGACAGATCTAGCCCTGAGTTCTGAGCCTGCTCAGCAAGACATCCCTGGGGACACACTCGCCCCCACCATAATTTCCACTCACCAATGCGAGCAGGCGAGTGGAAATTTCAAGGCCTGGTCTACACTATACTATAGCTTATACACTTAAGCTATAGCCTGCGCTTCCAGCCTTAGGCTGGATTCCACCCTGAACTTCTCCCTTATTGGCCGCCATAAGGGCTTCTTCTTCTTGGATGGTCTTCAACAGCTTTGAATATGTCACAGAACCATAGGGGTAGAATCTCCTTCTGCAGTTGTTGGCACTTTCTGCTTTCACTCCTCGCTGGACAACCACTTGGTGCAAGATCTTTTCCAGCCATTGTACATATTTTGACAATTTCTCTCATTCTTGTTGATATGTGTGCTCAAATAAATAAGTCAATTCTGTACAGTTCTTGCCCAAATACTTCCCGTAGGGCTTCAAGACACTCGTGGGTAGTACAGCCTGGCTTATCCCATCTTAGATTTTGCACAATGTCAGAGGCGGGAGACCATAAGCTCTCCACTACCCTCTGTCTCTTCACAGCATCTGCCACTTGTCACTCGTCTATGGCCCAGAGAGCTCGATCAACCCAAGTGTCAAAGTCATTCTCCCCCAGGGAAGGAGGGGCCTTACCAGAGAAGAACCTCAGTCTTTGGTAGTTATGTCTGATGATAGAGGTATAGTTCTTCAGTAGAGTCTCTGTAAACTTCCCTAGTTCGGCCAGTGAGGTAGCAGATATGCCCCCATAGTATCTACTGAAGCAGATGGCTCGGGTTCAAGGGCTCCTTTTCTTGAACTCTGAGCTGTCGTCAGTGGAGCCAAGTCATAACACTGTGCCATCACTGTGTCAGGCAAGTATATACTCTCTCCTTCAAGCAAGGAAGGAATTCTTTGTTCCATTAAGTCAGTACCAATGTATTAGGTACATCTGGATTACTTCTGATATTGAGGACACTTACCCATCTGGTCAGGGATGCAAGTGATCAGCATCTCCTTGACCTGCTCTTTTGTCCAGTCATCCCCGAAAGGATCAGCACCACACACCACTCTAGTCTTCCAATCTCCTCTTGGCACCACACAGTGATCTTAGAGGGTTCCATGCTTCCTTCTTGGGGTTCACAGATTCTCTGGACAGGGATTTCTTGGATGAGCCCCCACATGTAGCACTACCCCCTTAGGAGTCGCTAAATTATTTTCAGGATCCCTGTCATTCTGGACCCCTCTCTGAAATCCCAACCCCTGCTGACACCACAGTACTCTTTTAACCAGTGTAAATTACCACCAGAAAGTAGACTCACACACAAAATAGAGCAAACTGGTATGATGTTTTTATATTAGACTTCAGGGTAAGCTTGGTTAAACAGTACACAGTAGTATAGATGAGTGTAATAGCAATTGTCACTCTTGGCAACTTTAAGCAAAGAAACAACCCATACAGCAGACTCTCAATCAGTGTTAGCAGGCCTGATTTTCATAGGTTAAACTGATACTTCCAATCTGAGGTTTTTCTGGTACTCAGTGAACAAGGAAAGCTACTAAAGATTGAACTAGCTCACTTTGGGCCCTCAAAATCTAACAGCAAGGTTTAAATCTGAGATAGAAAAGAGCTCTTTGACCAGGGTAATTAATGTCCCTTAAAGTGCAGTAAGGAATCTTCTGTGTGCTTGTTGGGGCCCAGTTGGTGCACAAGTAGGGAGATATGAGGCTCTCATCCTACCTGTCACAACGCTCCTTCAGCGTTACCTATAATGCTACCACCTCCCCCTCACTCCCCCTCTCTGTTGGGGTCCCTCAAGGCTCTGTCCTTGGGCCCCTTCTCTTCTCCATCTATACCTCCTCCCTTGGCCAACTCATACACTCTCACGGCTTCAACTACCACCTCTATGCCGACGACACACAAATCTATCTCTCAACCCCCCACCTCACCCCCTTGGTCTCAGCCCGAATCACACACCTACTGAGCGACATATCAGACTGGATGTCGCTCCACTTCCTTAAATTGAACCTCTCTAAAACCGAGTTTCTTGTCTTCCCCCCAGCCCAGACACCACCCCCCATTGATTTCACTGTCACATCCAACAACGCTACCATCAAACCCGCCCTGCAGGCCAGAGTACTGGGTGTCATTCTGGACTCCAACCTATCCTTCCAGCCCCAAGTCCAATCTTTAACAAACTCGTGCAGACTCCACCTCCGCAACATCGCCAAAATCCGCACGTTCCTAACCCCAGAAACCACTAAACAGCTCATCCACTCTCTCATCATATCACGACTCGACTACTGCAACTCCCTCCTCACTGGCCTGCCTCGCCGCTGGCTATCCCCGCTTCAGTCGATCCTGAATACGGCTGCCAGACTCATTCACCTTTCCAACCGCTCTGTCTCCGCCACCCCCCTCTGCCAATCCCTCCACTGGCTTCCGATTGCGCAACGGATCAAATTCAAAATCCTAACGCTGACGTACAAAGCTGTCCACCATACTGCCCCGAACTACATCACTGACCTAATATCCAAGTACCGCCCAGCACGCACACTCCGCTCCTCACAAGACCTCCTTCTCTCTAGTTCCCTGGTCTCCTCCTCCCATGCCCGCCTCCAGGACTTCTCCAGGGTGTCACCCATCCTCTGGAACTCCCTGCCCCAACCCATCAGATTATCACCTACTCTCCTCTCCTTTAGGCGCACCCTGAAAACCCATCTCTTCAGGGAAGCCTACCCCGCCCCCTGCTAACTTGCCGACCTCCTCTACTCTTCCAACCACTCCATCCCCCACAGCTATCTCCTCCTCTGCCACCATCCCCTCCCTCCTAGATTGTAAGCTCGAAAGAGCAGGGCCCTCGAACCCCTCGTGTATCACATTGTATTGGTATTGTTCTGTCACATGTTCTGTCCCCCTTTGTAATGTACAGCGCTGAGCGAACTATTGGCGCTTTATAAATACTGTATAATAATAATAATAATAATAATAATAATATGAAGGTGACAGTCCCTCAAAGGATTAATAGAAAGAAAGAAAGAAAGAAAGAAAGAAAGAAGAGCAAAAACGTTCCCTTTAAGTGGAACATGACTTGGGTGTTGTCCCCTTTAATGCACTGAGAAAAAGGGCAGCTTTATGCAAATAAGGTGTCAAACTGGCAATAGGGCTTGTTGGCAAAGGGTAACTCCACTCTGGGCTGCAGTAACCAATGGCAATGGTGGCAGAATTTCCTTTAAGAGGGTAGGCCAATGGCTAAGGGAACACTGGTGTGATCCGGCCTGCAGAAGGCATGTACTGCAGTCAGCTCTAATGATTGGACTATGCTGCAAATATGTTCAACAGTAGCAGCTATGGGAACTAGGAATCAACACATATTAACTGAATGCAATGTCCACAACTGTCTGCAGGAAAAATAGCAGATATGGGGAGAATGTCAGTGTCGCTTGTTTAACTGGTGCATGGAACCCTCTCATCTGACTGTTGGCCTCCAGTAGGCCCTGGCTGTCTCACTGTCAGTGGATGGAGGCCCCCACAGGTTCTCTTGCCTCACTTGCAGCATTCCATCTGGTCACCGCACATTGGGTCACCTGCTGGCAAACTGTCTCTCCGAACAGGGTGGCAAGGCTAGCGGTCAGTGACTCCTCCTTTCCTCTCCTTTCTCTAGCTCTCTGGCAGTCAGCACAACTCTCTCTCTCTGCTTCTTCTCTCCAGCTCTCTCCCCTCTCACTTCCTGTCCAGTCTCCAGGGCTTATGTATATAAATGCCCCCACCCACATGCCACCCTGGGAAATGTAGTCCTCTGATGTATTGCTCCCCAGCAAAGTTATCTGGTTCAGAATACAAGGTTCATGGGGTTTTTGTACAGAGTGTGAATGCCACTGAATTTAAGGACACTGCCATCTTGTGTCTCTTTTAACAGCCTTCATTACAGCAGGGTGTTCCAGTCCAAGCTACTCCTGGTGCTTTAAGTTACTTTCAGTGACTGGATATTCAACATGACTGAAAGTGTACTACATTCTTTAAAAGATCAATGTATATTAATGTAGCATGTCTTTACTGCAGCCATACCACTGTATTAAAAAAATAACACTGCATATTTAAAAAACTACAGCAGTGTGCTTTAAACTTGTGCATTAAGCCTGGTCATATGACCTGCCAAAGTCATGTGGTAGGCCCTTCCTCCAATCATGGAGTCTCTCTGCAGCACTATGCAGAATAAACGCAATGGGTGGTAGTGCCATTGATGACCATTCATATAAGGCTCACACACCTGTATGTCTCACCACTGGAGATTGGTTCATATTATATCTTATGGCTTGTGAAACATGGAAAATATTATGATGTCAGAAAGTGTACAAAGAACAGACGTGACTGAGTCTCATACTGTACATATGTATTCTTACATACTTTTGAGCGTCGGCAACAATGGAGAAATTATTGGAACTGCAAAGAGAAACATTTGTTAGCTTTTGATTTCTTAGTATTACAATTTGATTTAAAATCTTTTCAGCCACACAGAAAATGGTTACAGATTTTGTCAGGTCAGTTTTACACATTTGTAGTTTATTCCAATTGCTTCTAATATCCTTTAGTTTAAGGAATAAAAAAAATATTGTTACACTCTCATTTTGAATGTTTTTTGCCTTAAGCTTCAATGATCAATGATTCAATGATATTGATGCCATAATTATGTGTGAATGGTCCCCAAACCAAAACCATTAAATGACCACCTTGTCTCCTTTATCTCAATCTAGAAGGTACAGCAGCAAAAGCATTAAGGAAACTTTTGCCTCTCTAATCTCCATCTAGGGTATAACTGGGTTGATTTTATAAAACAGGAGAGTGCAAAATCTGGTTCAGCTGTGCATGGGAGCCAATCAGCTTCTAACTTCAGCTTGTTCAATTAAGTTTGTCCTATTTCTGACATGGCCTTCTGCATAGCAACATAAGCCTCCATGACTTGACCTACTGTCTTTTGAACCTTGGAAAAGGACTGTTGAATCAGGATTTGGGCTTTAGCCA